GAAGGGCTGGAGGTAGGAGGGCAGTGGAGGGGGGCTGTGCAGTGGTCCATTTGGATGGCCTTTCATTGCCACCCTCAAGATAAGCAGGGACAGTCAGAGTCTGTAGGACCCAAGAGTGCTGGGTTGTGTGTAGATTTGAGTGTGGAATTTGAGTGGACCATATCCTGTCATCCTAGGGCTCCAACAGCACACTCAGGTACAAGTGCCAGGCCTTCACTACCAGCACCTGTCCTTCAAAGTGTCTTCCTGGTTGTCATATCATCCCTACCAGTACCCTGCCTTTTTGTGCACATGCACACTCATCCAGGCCCTGGCATAGGTAAGCGTAGACCTCCTGGAGAAAGCAGATGAGAGAGCAGCCACAAAACCAGGCGTAAGGACAGTGACATTCATTGCATGCCTACAGTGATGATCCCAGACAAATGCTGACTGCCAGCACAGCCTAAACAACCTCTATACACACAGACCCACCTGTGACACCACCCATCTGTTAAAGGGAGGGACCAATGTACCCATCTTCTTCAGGAGCTAGAATGGCACCCACCTTCACTCAGTGCCAGTGTGAATGGCATCTGGTCTTTTTGGACGAGGCCAGGCATCCAGAGCCTCAGGCTGCCACCCTCTGTCCTTCCTGCTAGCTGGAAGGCCCCTCTGATCAATGCCACCTTCCAGGATTGGAATCAGGGGTGTCTTCTGCTTCTGCCAAAGAGGCAGAGAGGCTTTGTCTTCTGATCTCTTCTCACCCCACAAGAGGAAGACAGAATCACCATCAGTAGCCCAAGGCCTATCCTGCAAGGCCAGACATGTTGCATGCTTCCAGCCCTTTCACCAACCATTCCTCCCACAGCACCCACCACCTCTCTGCTGGGTTGCATAAGTCACTGCAGTGGCCACACAGAAGTTACAGACTATGGGGTTTATTAGGGAAACACCAGAATACAATTCAAGTTCAGAAATGCACTCAGTCTCTTGCAGCCGGCCGTCTACTCAGCAGCTGGCAGGCTGAGTAGCACATCATCCTCTCAGCAGTGCATGTATCTCATGTTTCTCAGGAGTGCGTTTCTCTCAGCAGCACATCTTTCTCAGCCAGCAGTCAGAGAGACTCCTGCCTCTAGGAGGGCTCCTTTTGAGCCTGGCAGAGTGGCCAAACTACTCAATCCCAACATCAGAATTCTATACATCTGAGAGAGAGAGAACTTCACAGAAAATTTCTTGGTGCTGTTCCCAACAGAAATACCCCAGGTGAATAACTTTAACAATCAGGAGCTACTCAGTTGCTCAAGGCAAATTCCAGTGCAGAGTTTACAAAGACTTATGGCTAGAAAAGCCACACTATGTAATTTGCTACACCACAGCTTCTTAATTCTCCTTTAAGAGACCAGTCTAACTGAGGCCTCCTTGGAGGGCAGATGGAGCTTGTTGAGCAGAGGCAGTAGGCAGTAGCCCCACCTGGCAGCACACACAGTTGGGCTCAAAGCTCACTCAAAGTGGACTGTGCAGCCACACACAAGCTGGTGGGTACACAGTCATTCCCACACATGCATGTGCTCCATGCTGACCCCTGCAAGCATGGCCCAGATGTCCAGGGGAGGCAAGATGCAGGCTCCTCACAGACCAAGGTCAGGAAAATTGTTTTGGGGGATGTTAGCTGCCTTACCTCCAGAAGGCCTAGGTTCTCCAGGAGAGTTGGTACCATGCTGTGCTGTATGGCAGAGAGTCTCCCAGTGGCATTATGGCTTCATTCACCCCACAACATGCACACACATCATCCCCATCACCCTTGTCAGCCTTGGTCTGGAACTGGCCCCACAACTGGAGAAAGAAGCTGAGATTGAATGCCAGTGATCCCACAGCTGGTCAATGCCTACATGGCCCAGGCATGTTCTGTCCTTTAGGGCCACCCATCCATGTCCTATTCTTCTCCCTGTCAAGAACAAGACAGAGCAGCAAGCAGCAGTGGCTTATTGCTACAGCCAGAAGGCCTGGGGTCATTGGATCCTGGCCAGTTGAGGGGGCTGAGTGAAGGAGGGCTTCCTGGCCAGCCAGGTGTTGGTACTTCTTCCCATGGAATCTCCAGGGGATATGAAGCCTGCCAGTCTGCTTGGGACAGTGAGGCAGAGTGGATCTCCCAGGGCAGGAAGAGAAGAAGCCTACTATAAAAGTAGATGAGGAGACCATGACTTGGAGAGGGCAGTCTTGCACCTGGGCTGTGGTTCTGATGAGGCCAAGCCAAGCTGGGACTCAGATCTAAGGTGCCCCTGTGTCCTCACCATATGAATGTCTCCACTGGGTCAAGACCTCTAAATGTTCTGTCAGTCGTCCAACCAGGGGGATGGGGGGATCAGGTTCAGAGCTGGACTGCCCTGGCTATAGATCCTGCTCAGCAGCAGCCAGCCCTGGTTCTCTGCATCTCAGTTTCCCTATCTAGAGCATGGGAGTGGCAGCACCTCTTCCAGTGCTTTTGTGAGGTATTTCTTTCCCTGCTGTCTAAATCTGCTGATGCCCAGCCCGAACAGTGTTGTTGGGTTTCCCAGAGGAGATGTTGGTTCAGGAGGGCATGGGGCAGGAATAGGGAGTGGCTAGCCCTGGTGCCTAGAACTCAGAGGTGACACTACTGAGAGCCAGGTGGGGGTATACAGGTGCAGGGAGTATAGGCTATACGCAGGAGCTAAGCAAGAGCACTGCAGGGCCATCAAGCTTATGGCCCATGTTCCTTCTCACAGGCCTTCCCTCTCCCACTACAGGGCTCCCTGGGGGCAGAGGCCCTTCCTTCCTGTCCAGGGTCAGCCCTGTGTATTCCTGTGTGGGAGCCAGGCACTCAGAGCCTCAGGATTACTAGCACCATTCATCATGCCTTTAAATTGGTTTCTCGAGATAACAAGGCCCACATTGCCTAGCTTGGTCCCTCAGTCATTAAACAGACCCCAGGACTGGCCAGACAGCTCCCAACAAATCCAGGAAGTTCGAAGGGTCAGAGGCTCATCTGGAGCCTGCAAATGCAGAAGTGGCACAGACAGCACCCTAGGAGAGCACAGTGACCTGTCTGCAGGCCTCCGAGCCCCCATTGGGGCACATACCCCTCTGATAGTCCAACCATTTCCCAGGCAGGCACCGCTCATACTTACAGCCTCAGCCCAACTGGTGGGACCCTGCCCACCTCATGGCCTGCTATGTGTCCCTGCAGGTCACTCACCCTCTCTGTACCTGAATCATAGTCTGGTGGGCAGGTGCTCTGAGCCCTTGGGACTCTCTAGGTCCCCACTTTCAGTCATGGGCAAGAATGTTTGCTTCCTCAGCCAATACTGTGAAATGGGAATGACTCACAGCCCAGGGCTTCTGAGGAGGTTAGGGTCTGTGTGCCTGGCCTTTCCAGGGCCTACAGGTACCCACAGTGGAAGGGGGTGTGAACCTGAGGATTTCCTGAGTTCTGTGTGAATGGCCTGATGGATAGGTCTGACCTTGGATGGCTATGCCACCAGCAGGGGAGTCTCTTGGAGCCCAGCCAGCCCCTTCCTTCTCTCCTCTTGGTGTATGGGGTGTGTAGGGCACCTGAGTAGGGCAGGGACAGATGCAGATACAGGGCCAAGACTGCAGGGGGCAGTCCCTGAGGGGCACAGTGTTGATGTTGGGGTGACTGCTGGGGGCAATGGAACACAGGGTGCTGGTGTTAGGGAGGCAAGCCACCCATCCACCACATGTACACCTGTGTGGTATAGTGTGGGCAGGGCTTTCAATGGATGGTGCAGATCACACTGGATTTCCATATTCTGTCCACAGTGACCCATTTCTGTATCATACAGTAGTAAGCAGTAGTCAGGATGTGCAGTGTATTCCACTTGGTGTCTGTAGGAAATTGTGAGTTAATATTCCTAACCTCATTTTCTTACAGCACCCCCACCTTAGGTGCAGAACCCACTGGGGTCCTTGGGCAGTTGCTTGGGGAACCCTTCCAGGCTATCACCTTCACTGGGCCCTGAAGGTGCTAGATGAAGTGTTATCTTGGATCCTGTGACCCTGCCCAGTCTGTAGCATGCATGGCAGGGTCAGCCTTTCCCTCTTCTGTCGCACCCCTGGGCATGATTCAATTAAGTTACTGAGTGGTTAACCAGAGCTTCCACTGAGAAAAGACTGAGGAGGGCACACAAGAACTTCCCTAGGAGGTGACACTGGAGCACAAGGCAGCATCGGACAGACAAAGGTGAGAGGGAAGAGATATGCAGGCAGACTCCTATGCATAGGCCCTGGTGGGCTGTGGAAGCCAAGTGAGGCCCAAGGGGTGCCACAGCCTCAAGTGGAAGCACAAAACAGAACCCAGTTTGCTATTTTCCACTCCTTGCTGAAAAAAAGGCTTCCAGTACCCCCTGCCCCCCAGCTTTCAAAAATATGTCATTATACATCTCACACCCAACCCTGTTGTCTGGGAAGGAAAAGTAAAGCAAGATGGAACTTGCTAGGAAGTCATGAAGCTACTACCCCAGGGACCAGCAAGGAAGCCACTTCTGCCCAGCAAAAGGAGGAAGTCACAGATGCCCCCACAGTCCCTTTCCCCACAGTGCTGGGCCCTGCCCTGCCACTACCCTGGTGACCCCACAACTTTAACAGATAAACCCCACAGGAGCGGCAGAGTTCGCCCAGCAGGCCCCCACAGCATCCCTCCTCAGGCAGGCCTGAGGCTTCCCCAAGGGGCCTCTTTGATACTTCTCTCTCCTAAGAGCTCAGTGAGGCCTCACTTGCCTAGGCTGGAGCACCCTTACAGGCACGCTTAATAGTTATGTGCCCTTGGCAGGTTCTTCTCATCTACTCCAGGGGCAGTCTTTTGAGAACTAAACTTGGTGGTATCAAAGGGGAGGTCACTTATCCAAGTGAAGTGGCCATGGAGTCAGGACCCCTCCTCAAGCTCAAGCTCTGGCCCACTTCGTGCCTCCCTAGTACTCCAATACTGGTGCCTCATACACATACCAGGCTATGCGTCCCTCACCATCTCTCTGGTCTTGTTGCAGGAAGTTCTACTACATCACCCTGCTACGGGATCCCGTGTCTCGCTACCTGAGCGAATGGCGGCACGTGCAGCGGGGCGCCACCTGGAAGACATCACTGCATATGTGTGATGGGCGTACACCCACACCTGAGGAGCTGCCACCCTGCTACGAGGGTACAGACTGGTCGGGTTGTACACTGCAGGAGTTTATGGACTGCCCCTACAACTTGGCCAACAACCGCCAGGTGCGCATGCTGGCTGACCTGAGCCTGGTAGGCTGCTATAATCTGTCCTTCATCCCCGAAGGCAAGCGAGCCCAGCTGTTGCTCGAGAGTGCCAAGAAGAACCTGCGGGACATGGCCTTTTTCGGCCTGACAGAGTTCCAGCGCAAGACTCAGTACCTGTTTGAGCGGACGTTCAACCTCAAGTTTATCCGGCCCTTCATGCAGTACAACAGCACACGGGCAGGTGGTGTGGAGGCAGGTGAGGACACCATCCGCCGCATTGAGGAACTCAATGACTTAGACATGCAGCTCTATGACTACGCAAAGGACCTCTTCCAGCAGCGCTATCAGTACAAGCGGCAGCTAGAGCGCCGGGAGCAGCGACTGCGGAGCCGTGAGGAACGCCTGCTGCACCGTGCCAAGGAGGCGCTGCCACGAGAGGATGCCGAGGAACCAGGCCGTGTGCCCACTGAGGACTACATGAGCCACATTATTGAGAAGTGGTAGTGGCACCCACCAAGGGGCTCACAGAGCCAGAGCCAGTAGAGAGCCCCACTGAGGACTTGAGACACATTACCCACCACAGAGTCCTATGGGCCAGGGGCCAAGCGCAAGGAGGGGGTGACACAAAACCAACAGACCTGCATGCAAATGGACTCCATTCAGGACTTCTGTTTAGAAAGTGCCCAGATGTTTCTAATAGATGGATACATCCTGAAAAGAACTAGAGAGTGGGGGTGGGACGGGGAGGGAGAAGGAAAGAGTCTTATTGTTTCTCTAAGGCCAGGATTCTTAGAAATAAATGTGGAAATTGAGGGAGTTATAGGAAGTCATGCTTGAAGGGTGCGTGGTCAGGAAAGGCAGGACTCCTTGCCTGCTCTTCTGGCCCCTCCTCCCTGTCACAGGCAAGATTGGAAGAAAACAAAAGACCAAGTGGACCTGCCAGGCCCAAGCATGCTATGAGAGCATGTGTGGGTGTGGCTATGGAGAAAGCAGACACAGATGGGGGTTGAGTGGCTGAGTGAGGGCAGCTGTGTCATACCAAGCCCAGGCCTCTTCCTCAGCAGACAAGGCCTGTCAGGCCAAGCTAGCCCTGTGCCCCAGAGACCCACACCAACCTATGCACCAATCTATGCACAGCCCCCACCCATATCCAGCCTGTGGGGTTATAGACCAGCTTCCAGCACCACCCACATACCAGCTATACTCTTGGCCTCTGTTGGTCTCAGTCCCCCAGGTCCTGTGTGATACTACCTCCCTGGGATTCTTCAGCCCTTTGAAGGTGAATGGAGCTCCTCACACCCCATACCACATACTACCCTGTTTGCAGCAGAGAAGACAGGACCTCAGGTGCTGGAGCAGCTCACTTCCCTCCAGCCCAAGGTCAAAACCCACAGTCCACTTTGTGCTTCCCCCACCCCACTGTCTATAGTTCTCAGACTGTGGAGATGGGCCTACCTTATACTGACCCCTTCCTGGGCAGGGTGAGGTCCCAGTAGTGGGAAGGGTATAGCCAGAGAAGAACAGAACCAGACTGGGAGCTGATGTTCTCTGGACTTGTTAGGGGGCTGCCTGTCTTAAAGCTGTAGTCATTTATTCAAGGGCTTGTGTATATCAGCTCCCATAGCCCTGTATAAAGTGCTGTCACACCATAGTGGTCTGGAGCACATCAAACCAAGATGCTTGCTAGGGCCACAACCTGGGCCATGGAATTCTGGTGACTAGGTGAGGCTTGGCCTTGCAAGAGTTTCAACTTGGGTTGGAAGAAACTTTTCCCCATATTTCCCTGCTCCTGCAAGCCAGTCAGAACCTGTCCCTGCAGTCCTATGGTCAACCTGATAAGCCATGTTGTGTATCATTTTAAGTGTTTTCCTGTGTCCCCACCCTGATTACCCCTCATGCCCCATTTCCCTGAACTATCACCTCTCTGTGCCTCACCCCTGTATGTACACCCAACCCTCTTGCACTCTAGAGGCAAAGGCAGGGTCTCCTCCTAGAAACCCTCCCCACATGAGGCCCAAAACCTGGCATTCTGGGGAGCTGAGCATGGGCCCCATATCTGAGGTGAAAAGGGAAAGCCAGCCCTCATCAGGCACTCTGGGAGCTCCAGGAGAGGAAGTAGATGCATCCAACTGTGCACTTGGGGTAGGTACTATAGAGCCACCCGGGGAGGAGCTGGTCCTGCCAGGGCCCTACCCTTCCCTGTCCCAATTTTTCTACCCGCCTCCTGCTTTTGCCAACATGAGTAAAAGAATTGGATAACCACAAAGGACTACAGCAAGGATCCTCTAGCATTAGCAGAACTACTGTGTCATTGAATGGAATTGTCCTCCAGGAAGCAATTTTAGCTGATCGTTACCTGGCCCTAAGGCCCCACTCAGGGTGTCCTGCACTGGCTAATCCACCTTTTGGAGTCCAGTGTAGGGCATGAGAGAAGACTGGGTGGGCACACTGCTGCCTACCCAGGCACCTCCTGGAGGGGGGAGGGAGTGGCACTGAGGTGAGAGCATCAGTGAACTGGTGACTGTGCTCTTTTAATGGGTGTATGTAGAGTGAACTTGTTCTGAGGCTCATCATTTAGGGTGGTACGCACCTGTGAGGAGAATCATATGGGGTTCTGAAGGGCTCTGAGGTCTACAATCCACATGGGACCTTAGAGTCTGTGTGGCCTCTGTCAGGAGTGGCAAACAGAAGCTCTGCCCTTTTCTGCCTGAGCCCAGGGCTCCCAGCCACACTAAGCTCATCTGAGCAGGCCTGACACACAGTCTGTTTTGTACATATTGGAACATGTTTTAACTTACTCCTCATTGTCCCAATTAACATGGAAATACAGGTCTCTCCTCTATTTCTTTGCTGCATTCAGAAAACTTTCTGTCTCCTGCCAGCCCCAGGCCAAGGTGCCCAACGCAGTCCAGCTTGCAAAGCCTGGAGCACCTCAGCCCCTGCATTCTCTGCGCAGACCACGTGCTTTGGGTGGTTTCCTGATGCCTGCAGCATCTCCTGGGATGCCATGGTGGGGCAGTCACCCCTGAACTGAGGATTCTATTCACCTACACCTCTTCTGGAGGCTGTGAGGACAGAAGCAGACAATGGTCACCAGGCCACTGCTAGCACAGACCCTGCAAATGCTCTGCTCCTTGACGGGATGCCAGGAGGGCAGATGTGTCTGAGCTATGAGTCTATGAGCTCTTGTCGAAACTGAGACTTTAACTTAAACCCAGGAGTGTTCAAAGCTTTATTTATTTATAGCTTCTTATTAAAAGTGTTCAGAAAAAGTCTTTGGGTTGTTCATACAAAAATAAAAAAGATGGAAAAGCAAGTCATAATCATCTGTCTACGTCAAGAACGAGTGTTAGCTGATGAAATAAATCCTGAAATGGAGTGCTGATATGTGTGGTCTGTCCTAAAGCTGTCCTCACTGCTGCCAGCTCATGATCACCTGGTGTGGCTGGGCTTTCCTGGTGTGAGTTTCAAGGTGTGCATTCATGACAACAGGAATGGAGGTGCTCTGTCCACAGGTGTACAGGGTGTAGTAAGAGAAAGTGACACACATTAATTAAATACTGCTTTGTAAAAATTAAACAAAAAATTTGACTGTTATCACCACAAGGAATAGTGATCAATAATATTAATTTCGGCATTTGAAAACACACAAGTTTAGAGTCAGGCTGAAAGAAATTCAGACACCAGTTGGCTGCTTTCTCAATGACCTCTTTCCCCTTCAACTTTCACTTTTGAAAGACTACAAATGATAAGTAGTTAATAGTTCAACTAAGGCCTTAGTCTAGATTTACCTGACATTAGCATTCCGTCACATTATGTTATCTTGCAGTCACGCTCACGTGCATACACACACATGCACACATATGTGTACCTACATGGTCTTTGGAAACATTTCATGGTAAGTTGTAGTCATCACAGTGTCTCAATCCTAAGTCAGTATTGCCCAAATCATTTCTCTTAGAAGGATCAGCACAAGGCACCTCTTCCTATGAGGGAAAGGTTAAAGATGTCCCAAATGTCCACTTTTCCAAACTGCAGTACTGTTCCATCATCTCAACTGCTCCTCTTCTCAAATACTTTCCCTCCTGTCTTAGGGTTCCTTACTTTAATGTCTCACAGAACTCACACACTACCAAGGAAATGGTTCATGTGGTAGTGGAGGCAGAGAAGCTGGCAAGCCCCAAATCCATGGGTCAGTTCTAAGTCTGGAGGATTCTTCTCACTCACATTGCAGGGGCTGATGAACCCAAGTCAGCAGGTAGATGACTGGCTGCTGTCTCAAGTCCAGGGGTGAGATGTTGATGAACCAAATGCAAGATCTGGAGCAAGAGAAAACAAACTTCCAGAACATTCACATACATACCTCAAGAAAGTTAAGGGTGGTGACTTGAGTCACACCCTCCACCAAGGCAGGATTCAAGATGTTTCCCACCCTAAACAGGCATACAAAAAAAAAAAAAAAACACCTGCTGTTAAGTCGGATCCAACTCATAGTGACCCCTCCTTGGGTCTCCAAGGTGGTATCACTATGGAAGTTGTTGATGTGCTGTGGAGTCAGACCCAACTCATAGCGACCCCTCCTTGGATTTCCAAGGTGGTATCACTATGGAAGTTGTTGATGTGCTGTGGAGTCAGACCCAACTCATAGCGACCCCTCCTTGGGTTTCTGAGGTGATATCACTATGGAAGTACATTACCCAATCTTCCTCCTGAGGAGTGGCTGGTGTATTTGAACTGCTAGCCTTCTGGTTAACAGTCAAATGCCTTAGGCACTATGCCACCAGAGCTCCCTAAATAAGATTTATAATACATCATAAAATGGAGGACTATGGCTGAACGGCTGTATTAAGCAAATAGCTGCACTGCAATTATGAATCTCCTGAGAGTGACACTCTGCTGCAAAACTCAGTCACATTATCACATCTGCAAAATTTAACATTGATACTATAATGTGACACATTTGTTGTGACTGCAACAATGGGCTCAAGCATAGCAAGGATTGTGAGGATGGCACAGGACCAGGCAGTGTTTCACTCTTGTACATAGGATCACTATGAGTCAGAGCCAACTTGACAGCACCTAACAACACATTATTACCTAATACACAATCCACATTCAGATTTTCCAGGTGATCCAATGTCTTTTTCACTCTCTACTTTTTTTCAAATCACACAGTGCACTTAGTTGTCCTGTCTCTTCCATCTCCATTAGCCCAGGAGAGGCCCTCATCCCCATTATTTTGGTTTGTTGTTATGTGCCATTGAGTCAGACCCAACTCAAAGCGACCCCTGCTTGGGTTTCTGAGGTGGTATCACTACAGAAGTAGATTGCCCCACCTTCCTTCTGAGGAGTGGCTGGTGGGTTTGAATTACCAGCCTTCTGGTTAGCAGTCAAATGCCTTAGGCAGTATGCCACCAGAGCTCCCTATTTTGGTTTAGTCTTGGCATTCTTGTCTAATATAAGGCAGTGGTCTCAGGTTTTTGTGCCTGGTTGTTTCCTCATGACTGA